CCCGGGGGGGGGGGGGAGGGCGGGGGGGGGGCGGGGCAGGGTGCAGGGCTGGGCTCCAGGCACGGTGCGGGGGGGCCGCGGCCAGGCTGGGCAGCGTGGGCCCCCACCCGGGGCGGCCCACCCCACCACACCATAAAAGCAGCAGCGGGCGGTGCTCAGCAGCAGGAGAGCTGCTGGAGGCCGGTGTGAGCCAGCGCCGCGTCCCCTCGCCACTGCCTGCCCCACGCTGCTGCCTGTCCTCCTCCGTCACCCGCTGCCAGGGTGAGTGCCGAGGATGGCCCCGGAAGGGGGGTTCTGGGCACCTGGGGGAGGGGGGCAGCAACCCACTAGTGCTCTGAGTGGGGATGCAGGGGGAGAGGTGGGGTGATGGGGGACAGGGGTTGTGTGCAGGATGGGGAGGGGACCCTGGTGTCCGGCAGAGGGTTCACATTGGGGATAAAGGGGGGCTCTGTGGGACCCCCACCCATGGCCCGAAGCATGGGGCAGGCAGGAACCAACAGGGGCAGGGCAGCATTTGTGGGGCTGCCCGTGGCTGTTGGCAGCCAGGGCTGAGTGTGGGGCTGTGGGTACCTGGGAGGGCTGTGCCAGGGCTGAGGGAGCCCAGTGAGGGGCAGGTGGGTGTGGGGCTGGGGCTGAGCCCCAGGGTGGGGGATGCTGTGAGCTGTGCATGGCAGGGACCAGCCCCAGCATCCCCCGCAGCACAGGGACAGGGATGTCACCACTGTGTGAGGGGGCATCATATCCCTCCACCATCACCCAGCTCCTGGGGCATGTGGGGGGGGGCTGCAGCAGCACTCCCCACCCTGCCATGGTCCCCAAGGGCTCAGCGGCAGGCTGTCCCCAGGCATCCCACCCCAGGACCACAATGGTGATGCCAGCTGCTGCTAGACCCATCCTGCTGCCGCTGGTGCTGCTGCTGTGCTGGGTGGCCCCCAGCGGGCAGGAGCCAGCCCCGGTGCAGCTGCGGCTGGCGGGGCCGCGGGGGCCGGCCGGGGAGGGCCGGCTGGAGGTGCTGTACCAGGGGCGCTGGGGCACCATCTGCGACGATGGCTTCGACTTCCACGCGGCCACCGTCGCCTGCCGGCAGCTGGGCTACACCGCGGCCGTCACCTGGACCCATAGTGCCACCTACGGCCAAGGGGAAGGTAGGGGGCAGGTGGGGAATGGGGTGGCAGGGGGTCCTGGTGAGGGCAGTGTGCTTAGCGCTAGCTGGGGGAGCCTGCCCGGGGGGCTGTGGGTGCAGGCAGCCTGCGGAGGGCACTGGATGTGGCCCATGGTGCTGGGGAGGGAGATGAGGACCCCCCCAAACCGTGACCCCCAGCCCTGCGTGTGTGTCCCCCAGGCCCCATCTGGCTGGACAATGTGCGGTGTGGGGGCAGCGAGGGGTCCCTGGCAGAGTGCGTCCACAACGGCTGGGGCACCAGCGACTGCCACCATGGCGAGGATGCCGGCGTGGTGTGCTCGGGACAGCGCCTGCCCGGCAGACCCCCCCAGGCCACCACCTCTGGTCACCTGGGAGAGGTGAGAGGGGGGCCATGGGGTTCCTCTGTGCCCAGCAGGGTACACCAGGGGGACTGGAGCAGGTGCCCTTCCCCTTGTCCCCATCCTGAACACCCTGCCCTCGATGCTGGAGCCCCTGTGCCCACCCCTGTGCCCACCGCAGCAGGTGCCGGGGCTGAGCCTGGAGGAGGTGCGGCTCAAGCCCATCCTGGCGCGAGCCAAACTCAGCATGCCGGTGATGGAGGGTGCTGTGGAGGTGAAGCACAACGGGCGCTGGAGGCAGGTGTGCGATGCTGGCTGGACCAGGAACAACAGTCGCGTGGTCTGCGGGATGCTGGGCTTCCCCCGGGAGAAGCATGTCAACACCAGCTTTTACCGGTAGGAATGTGGGAGACCTTCATCGTAGCCATGGTGCATGTGGGGCAGGGTGCCTGGCTGAACTTGCTGTGGGGGCAAGACACCAGGGGGTGTCAGGGAAGGGATGCACATGTGGGTGCTTGTGCAGGGTGCTGGTATGGCCTCTCCATGCCTGGGTCCCCTTCTTGGGGCCTCGACGAGGGGAAGAGCTGGGCTCAGCAGCAGCCAAGGGTCTGTGGGGACGGTCATCAGCCGGTGCTGGCAAAGTGTGGGTGGAAGGAGAGGAGAGGCAAGTGGCCATGGGCCCCTCCACCCCTGCCTCGGGCTGGGGCTATAAATGCAGCCTGTAATGAGCCCCTGCCGGTGCCAGGAGTCACGCAGTCCCGCCGGGGCACGGCACAGCCGGGCTTGGCGTGGTAATTACCAGTGGGGAGAGGACCTGTCCTCATCCTGCCATGCTGTGGGAGGACCCCACAGCTCCAGCTCCTGCCACGGGGTGCTGGTGAGGGCAGGGATGATGGGGTGGGGGTCTGGAGCCCTGCAGGGTCAGCATGGCCCCCCTGACCTCCTGGCTCCATGCACCCACAGGAAGCTCTGGAACATGAAGCTGAAGGACCCCAACTCCAGGTAGGGCTCAGCCCTGGGCAGGGTGGGCAGGAGCACCCTGGGTGGGCACCCAGCGCGGGTGTTGGGTAGGGGAGAGTCTCTGGCACCCAAGCTGATGCTGGTCCCTGCTCCTCTCCCTTGACAGCCTGAAGACCCTCAGCCAGAAGAACAGCTTCTGGGTCCACAAAGTGCGGTGCCAGGGCACGGAGCCCCACCTGGCCCGCTGCCCCACACAGGTAGCCCCACCGGCCCCCCGCCAGCAAGCCTGCCCCCACGGCATGCACGCCATCGTCAGCTGCCTCCCTGGCCCTACCTTCCAGAAGGGCATGGGCAAGGGCAGGAGCAAGACCTCCCCAGGAAAGGTGAGCCCTGGCATGGACCCGCACCCCATCCTGCTGACGGAGGGTCCTGGAGCCGGGCAGCACCCGGCCACCCTGTTTGCACTTGTGCCCGTGGTGCAGGCAGGCAGCTGTGCCCTGGGGACACTGACCGTCTGCTCCCCATGCCCAGGTGCTCCCAGTGCGACTGCGAGCGGGCACCCATGCCGGTGAGGGCCGGGTGGAGGTGCTGCGCCACGGGCAGTGGGGCACCGTGTGTGACAAGCAGTGGGACCTGGCCGCGGCCAGCGTGGTGTGCCGGCAGCTGGGCTACGGGACAGCGAAGCAGGCCCTGGTGGGAGCCCAGATGGGCCAAGGTGAGGCGGGTGGCGTGGCAGGGACTCAGGGTGCCACTGGGCTTGGGGGGGCACGATGGGGAAAGCCCCTGGTTTACTGGGTGCTGGTGGAGCATCCTGGGATGTCCAGGCAGCTCCAGCCTGCACTGCGATGAGGCTCCCCTGGCTGTTCCTGCCACGGGCAGCCCTGTTCCCATAGGGAACGCCCAGTCTGGGGAAGGAGGGCGGGAGTCCTCCCTGCTCCATGATGGGCACGAAGCAGGGAGCGCTGACCCTCCCCCCTGCTTCAGGCCTGGGGCCCATCCACATGAGCGAGGTACGGTGCACTGGCCACGAGCAGTCCCTGGGCGAGTGCCGCTTCCAGGACGCTGAGCGGAGCGGGTGCCGGCACGAGGCTGATGCCGCCGTCCGCTGCCATGTGCCCCACATGGACTTCCAGACCCAGGTGAGCCCCTGCCTCCTCCCCAGAGCCTGTGGAGCCCCATTGCACAGCCCCTGCGCCCCAAGCTCTGTGCCCAGTGTGGATGCTCAGAGCAGTCCCGGGGTGGCCCATGGGTCAGGGGAACACAGAGCAGCACGCTGATGGGGTTCTGCAGGATGAGCCGGTGGCAAAACTGGTCCTGTGGGGAGGAAAGGAGGAAAAGGAACGTGAGGAAGATGTTCAGCTGGATGCATGGGGCTGTGCTGGGTGGGAGGGCTGGGGGTCTGCCCCACGCTCCAGCTCAGCCCCTCTTTGCCCGCAGGTGCGGCTGGCTGGGGGCCGCAGCCCCGAGGAGGGTGTGGTGGAGGTGCTGGTGCCGGTGCAGGGGCGGCTGCAGTGGGGCGCAGTGTGCGGTGCACAGTGGGGGCTGAACGAGGCCATGGTCGTCTGCAGGCAGCTGGGGCTGGGCTTTGCCAGCCATGCCCTCCAGGTGAGCGGGGTCCCAGCCTGGGGCCTGGGCTGCGAGGGGTCCAAGAGGACGCGTGGCATAAGCGTGGGGCTCTGGGAGGGGACAGCCCAGGGGGACAAGCCCTGGTGGCAGTGCTGGGGCAGGGGAGCTGGCAGGGGAGGCAGGGTGGGTGCTGGCAGGGGGTGCGAGGGCTGGTCCGAGCTCTGCGCTCCTCCTCTGCCCAGGAGACGTGGTACTGGGCAGGCAGCCCCGACGCTGCCCAGGTGGTGATGAGCGGGGTGCGCTGTGCCGGCACCGAGCTGGCCCTCCAGCAGTGCCAGCGCCACGGCCCCGTCCACTGCCCCAGTGGTGGGGGACGCTTCTCGGCAGGGGTCACCTGCACCGCCCGTGAGTACTGGGAGCCCACGGGCTACCGCTGGGTGGGAGCACCCCCTTCTCCTGGCACAGAGAGCCGGGGCGGGGGGAAGCTATGGGGGGTGGGGATCGCCTGCTCCGTCCCCACTGATCCCCTCTGTGCCAGATGCCCCGGACCTGGTGATGAACGCCCAGCTGGTGCAGGAGACAGCCTACCTGGAGGACCGGCCGCTGGAGCTGCTGTACTGCGCCCACGAGGAGCGCTGCCTCTCCCGCTCCGCCGACGACATGCACTGGCCCTACGGCCACCGCCGCCTCCTCCGCTTCTCCTCCCAGATCCACAACCTGGGCAGAGCCGATTTCCGACCCAAGATGGGGCGCCACGCCTGGACCTGGCACCAGTGCCACCGGTGAGTGGCCCGTGGGCAGGAGCTGGCAGGGAGCTGCCCTCTCCCCGGGCCAGGCAGGGCATGGTGGCAACCGTCCCACAGAGGCTGGCCCACCCGGGGTAATTGGCAGCGTCTGCACTGGCACTGTCATTACAGCTTTATTTGGCTTCAGGGCTGTAATTTGCTCAGAGCCTCTGGGTGCTGCCCGCTCCCAGCTGGGCGGCTGGGCCGGCTGCGTGGTCCCTGGCCAGGCACCGGCCTCGTGCTCAGCCCCTGTCCCTGCAGGCACTTCCACAGCATCGAGGTCTTCACCCACTATGATCTGCTGACGCTCAATGGCTCCAAGGTGGCCGAAGGGCACAAGGCCAGCTTTTGCCTGGAGGACACCAACTGCCCCGAGGGTAGGTGCCAGCTGCAGAGCTGCCAGCAACCCCCCCACCTCCTGCTCCCAGAGGGGGACTCTGCCTGTGCCCTCTCTCACCTCCCCTCCCTCCCACAGGGCTGCAGCGACGCTTCGCCTGTGCCAACTTTGGGGAGCAGGGGGTGAGCGTGGGGTGCTGGGACACCTACCGCCACGACATCGACTGCCAGTGGATTGACATTACTGACGTGCCGCCGGGCAGCTACACCTTCCAGGTATGGGGATGGAGGGGCAGGGGGGGCACTGAGCCACTGGAGCTCAGGGCTGGGGGCCACCCTCCATGGGCACCACCAGCACCCCTCACCCTGCACATCGGGGTGCTGCTCTGCACCCCACGGTGCATGCCGCGGCCCTGCCTGGCCAAGGGACAGTGGCACTCTGGGGGGCCCAGCAGTGACCCCAGCCCTGCCCCTTGCTCTCCCCAGGTGGTTGTGAACCCCAAGCATGAGGTGGCTGAGTCAGACTTCTCCAACAATGTGATGAGGTGCCGGTGCAAGTACGATGGGCAGCGTGTCTGGATGCATGGCTGCCACACAAGTATGGAGGGATGGGAGCAGAGGGGGCACTGTGGGCAGGGCAGGGGGGAGGCAATGGGGCTGGGGGTGCCGCAGGTCCTGTCCCCCCCACCCCATGCCATCACTGTCCCCAGGTGATGCCTATGGCGCCGACGTGGTGAACGATCTGGAGCGACAGGAGCGCCTGGCCAACAACCTTGTGTGACCCCCCCTCCAACATCGGCACGCTCCCAGCAGTGCCGCGGGGCAGCCCGGCTCCCATGCCCAGCCCCTGCGCCCCAGCAGCACCAGCCTGAGCTCAGGGACTCGAAGACTCTTGTATTTATTGATGCTGCTGCAGAAGATGGAGATGAGCACTGGGGCCAGAGGGGAGTGCCCAGCCCTGCGCTGCCAGTGGGACCTGCGAGAGGGGCCCAGTACCTCAGCAGCCCCCACCTCTGTGGCTCCAGTGCCTCCCAGGACGACTACCTCAGCCTGCCCGCCTGGCCCCCCCCGCCCCAGCAGACTCAGGACAGGACCTGGCCACTGCTACCTGTGCACCAGTCCTGTCCTCAATAAAGGTGCTGTGCAATGGGAGACAGGTGCTGTGCTATGGGAGAGGGGGTGCCCTTTATCACCACCACCATCCTCTGCTTCTTCCCCTGCGCTCTTCCCCACCAGGACCGTGAAGCCAGTTCCCAGCCAGGAACAACCCTGGTCTAGGTGATGCGTCCCCAGCCAGGCAGTGTCCCCCCTCTGCCACCCAGGGCCACCAGCTCGCCAGCTGCCTGCGTGTGGCCTGTGCCAAGTGGCTCCGGCTTGCCGCCAGCAGTCCCCACCAGCCAGGGCACCCCGGCCCTGAACTGGCTGACCCCATGCACACAAAGGGACTCAGCCAGCTCTGTGGCAGCTCGGGCTGGCAGCCAGCCCACTGGCCGCTGTGGCTGCAGCCACCGTGCCGTGCTTTCCGAGGCTGCCCTGGCAGCTTCCCAGCCCCAGGAGCAGGGATGGGCCTGCTCTGCGCCTTGAAGCACTTGCTCCTGGGCACAGGGTGAGGACACAGGGGACACCGTGCCCTTGCTCTCTGTGTTTCTTTCCTCCTGTGGTTTCCAGCAAATTTTTTTAAAGGAAATAAAAGGGAATTTTTGCCAGCCACCCACACTTTGTACTGCCCAGCCCCCAGTGAGCCAGCTACCAGGCTGTGCCACCCCTCTCCTTGCACAGCCCTGCTTGTCCCCACCTTGCTGGCAGACACCAACCCAGGGTGGGGGGCTGCCAGCACCCACCTTGGCCCTGCACAGCCAGGACAGGGTGGGTTGTTCCCACACATGACGGTCCCCACATGCGGAGGAGCTGCCGGGAATGGCGGTGACGTGCTGGGGTGGCCCGAGGCCAGGGGCCGTGGCGAGGCACATGCCAGCAGAGGCTCGCTCCGCTGTGGTCGGGGTTCAAGGGATGCCGGATGGTGGGGAAGATGCTTTCCACGTGAGATTAGCTTCGCACCCTGACATTTCCACCGGCAGAGCCACGAGTGGCTGGGACAGCTCCCAGCTGGCAGCACCACCGGCACGGGGGCAGGCAGCCACCGCCATGGGGTCGTGACCGGCTCCACCGCCAAGCTGGGGGACAGCCAGGGGACACGGGGCAGCCGCACGAGCCCTTCAGCGCAGGCTGGGGCGAGGCAGCCGTGACCAAAACCGCAGGCGGGGGTGGCGGAAAAGCACCGTCCCCGTGCCCACCCGCTGCAAAGAGCACGGGACCCCCACAAACTGTGGCCCCGAGAGTTTGAGGGGTTACAGGGTGGGAGTGCTGAGGCACACGGGGCTGTTTCCCGGATGCTGAGGGATGATGCAAAGCAGAGGAACCAAAGGCAAGTCCCAGCCGCCTGCCCGCGCCCCCGCACCGGGGCAGGGCAGGAAGCCCCCAGCCCGCCAGGGCCGGCAGCGCAGCCACATCACAGCCCCGCGCGGGGCCAGGAACGTGGCCCTGCCCGCGCACCGACAAGGGCCCCGCTGTTCGGGTGGCAGCTGCTCCGCGGAAGTAAACAGGGTCCCTGCCAGCACATTCCTGCCCTCCGCCCTGCCCGACCCCTCCTGCCTGCGCCCCCCCCCACCCACCGGGGACACCCACCACCTGGGAGGGGTGAGCAGCCCCACGGCGGCAGGGACCATGCGCGGCAGCCCCTGACACGCAAGCCCTCCCTGGCACTCAGGAGCACGGAGAGCCACAGCCAGGCCAGGCACAGTAAAATAAATGGTATTTATTAGCAAAATAAAGGACAGAAACTCTCGCTCGCAAGGCCCTGCCAGGTGTCCAGGGCCACCCCGCACGACCCTGCATGCTCGCTGCCGAGCTCCCCGCATCCCGCTGGCTGCTCCCGCTGCAGCAGGCAGCACCAGGGGTCCTGCCCCGGGCAGGATGGGCAGCGCTGCCTGACGGCGACAGCATCTGCACGGCACCAACAAACCTGCGCGCGTCCTGCTCAGCCCTTTCGGTGGAGCAGCCCAGTGCTTTTGGATGCGGTGCAGGATCCATCCCAGCTCTGAGACGCAGGGTGCCCTGCCTGCCCGCAGAGAAGGGCCCGGGCACCCCAGGGGGTTCTCAGTGGGGCTGAAGGTGCAGTCTTCCAGCTCAGTCCCGGCCCTCCCAGGCATCCTCCCGCTGCTTGTTCTCCAGGCGCTTCCTCTCTGCAGAGACAAGAGGAGGGTCAGCCCCATGCCTCCATCACCCCACAGCCACCCACTTCCCCGCAGAGGTTGCCGGAGCCCACCCTGGCACAGCCCCCTCCCACCCAGCACCCTGTGAGAAGGGGCATCCACGAGGAGGGTACCCCCACACTGCAGCCCCCCCAGGCATCCAAATCTCACCCCGGGCTTCTTGCAGCTTCCTCCGCTCAGCATCTCGCTGGGCTGGTGTCTGGTTGCTGCGTACCCCCAGGGCACCGATCACCAGCCGCCTGGCCAGGGCGGCCGATGTTTCAGGGCGCTCCTTGGCTGGCTGCAGGTAGTCTGGGTGAGCAGAGATGGGGGACATCAGTAGGGGCATCCTGGGAGGGATGGGGCAGCCGGCACGGCTCCGCTTAAGCACTGCGGAGCCGTGCCGGCTGCCCCATCCCTCCCCAGCTATTAGGATGAAGATGCTGCAGCACAAGCACCATGGCACAAGTCGGCACAGGGCAGCATCACTCACCAGCGTACGCCCTGGCTTTGGCTTTAGAGGCATGGGTGCCCTGGGAGAGTGGGCGCGTCTTCACCAGCAGGTGCTTGGTGCTGAGGGCATCGCGTGCTGCAGGGAGAGAGCAGCGGTGTCTGTGTGCAGGGCCAGACCCATGCCCACGATCTGGCTACGGGAGAGGCAGGGATGCCTCCCCTCTGCCTATCCCAGCCAAACTGGGAGCAGTACCTGTTATGGGGCTGGAGAAGATGCCCAGGGCATGTGTGTCATCCACCCACTTAATATCAAAGCCTTTTTTCCTGCCAGAGAGAAGGAAGCTCAGCAAGGCATCGGCACCAAGTGGGGAGGGGTCCGGAGCAGAGCCCAAGCAGGGGACGGGGCATTGCCAGCAGACTCACTGATAGCTGCAGAAGACACGCAGCAGGTCCTCAGTGCGGAAATCCGAGGGGAAATCATAGATCTCGATGACATGGGGCAGCTCGGCATCACTGAGGTCTGGTGCGGTGGGCTCGGCCCCATAGTAGTCAAAGCGGGGTGACTGCCGGCTCTCCCGGTGCTTCTCACCCCCCAAGAGCTGCAGGGGTGGGAAAGGCACAGCACTGAGCAACCCATGCCCGCCCATCCCACACCAGCTCCGAATCCATGGCAAGCAGTCCTCAGGAAGTTGTCCCACCCCCATGACCCACCCCAGCACTGCAGATGGATTCATGGCATTGAGATATTAGGAGTTATCGACCGGGGCTTTCATACCATGCACTTGCTTTTCCCATTACCAGCATCCCTTCACTTGCTGTGCTCTGCAGTCCCACCGGGGACACAGTAGGAATGACACTGCTGAGACAGCCCATGCACCTCCAAGCACACCCCTCCTTCCACAGTGACATGCTGACCTTAAATACATTTTGGGAACAACAAGGAGTGGGACAGCAAGGCCAGGAAGAAAGACTGACGTGTGCCCACCATGCAGGAGCACCAGGCTCAGCGTGCCCTGGCTTCATCACATGCACTGTAGCCCTTTAGGAAACGCAGCCCTTCGGCACCCCAGACACCAAGATGGAAAAGCCAGCACTCCCCTGAGGAGCAAGTTCTGGTGCTTAATCACATGCGCGGCTAAAATTTTATGCCTTATTTCTCATTTGAATTTGTCTGGCTTCGCTTTCCAGCCAGCAGTTTTTGTTCTGCCTCCCCGCTGGATTAAAGAGCCTTCAGTCCCTGGTCCCCTCCCCATGATGGCACTTACTCACGCTAATCAAGTCCCTTCTCAATCTTCTTCTTGATAAGCTAAGCGGGTTGTGCGTGTTTAGTATCTCACAGCGGGGCACTTTCTCCAGCCCTAAAAGATGATGGCTGTAGTGCTTTTCTACCTCTCCCATTTGTCAACCTTCATTTTAAAACATAGGCAGCAGTCTCCCACTGCCACGACACAGGGGTGCAGCCGCACCCTGCTCCCCTTCGCCCCGCAGCATCAGTGCCAGTGGGCACCACTTGCTGCACCTCTGCTTTCCAAACTGTGCCCTGCTGGCAGCCGAGGAGATTCACGGCCCCACTCCGGCTGTGACATGGGGCCAGGTGCAGTCCGAAGTCAGTGGTGGCTCCCCTGTCCCTGCTGAAGCGTGGGGCCAGCGCAGTGCCGGGGAGCGGGTACATAACTCAGCCGGGTTCCCAGCCCGATCCCCCAAGCGATCGTAGCAGAGCACACCACGGCTGGAAGGTTAGAGTCCATAAATCCCAGCCAGCTCAGTCAATAAAAAGTGCTCATTCGAACAATTTTATGGGGAAGATGGATTCACGGCAGGTGAGGGGGTGCTGCCAGGGCGGCTGGATGCCAGCGGAGGGTAGAGCTGAGTTATGGAGCTCACGGGACAGGCTAGCACTGCCACCTGCCCCACCACCACCACCCATTATCCGAGCCCACCCTGTGGGCAGGGGACTCATCGGGCACCCCGTGCCCACTCAGGGGGAGTCGAAGGAGCCGTTCCCAGGCAGGATGAAGCCCTGCGGTGCTGCTTGAGGGAGCAAAGCACTCGGGTAGTGCCAGGCGCCGGGAAGATGATTAGAGAGCAGGAGCACAGAGTGCCGGAGCGGTCCTTGACCTTCACAAATCACAGAGTGTGGTGGGGCGGCAAGGGCGGGAGCCGTCTGGCAGCCGGGCTCAGCCACACAGCAGGCACGACTCAACAGGTCCCCCTGCGCTGCCAGCCTGGGCACGCAGCGTGCCTGCAGCCCCCCAGCCGTGGGGCAGGGCAGGGAGCGGGAGCTGGGGTACAGACCCCAGCCCTGGCAGGCACCCGGCACTGGGAAGGGTCTGCTGAGGGATGGACAGACGGACAGCGGAGGTGGGAAATGAAGCCTGCCTGTCATGCCTCGCGGCTCTGTAAAGACGCACCCTCACCAGAGCACGTTAGAGGGGTCCGTGGCCGCTCGCTTACACTCCCGCACACTTGCCGGGAGCGCACCTCCAGGGCTGGAGGGGAGGTGTGCGCTGGCGCGCACGCACCGCAGCCCCCGGCACGCATGCACCACGGCCCCTGCCCCACCATGCCGGCTGATGGAGAGTCCACCAAGCTTGCAAGGAAATGGTTGCAGTGCTTAATTACCCTCTGCGTTCAACCTGAATTTGTCTGGTTTCAGCTTCCAGCCAATGGATCTTGCTAAGGTGTTTTTTCCTGCTAGATTAAAGAGCCGTCCCCTATCAGAAATCTCTCCTCCACACAGAACGTCATAAATCTTGCTCTCTGCCGGCTATCCACAGCGCATAAGGATTCGGTTATGAGGAAAAACGCTACTAATTTTCTTGTCTTTTTTTGTTAATTAACAACAGCTCCATCTCCCCAAGAGCCTGTACCCTCCCTGAGCAGCCGCATCCACCTGTCGAGAGCTCGGAGGGCTTGGGAAGCACCAGGCTCAGCATGCGAATCTGCAGGGGGGTGAAGATGGCAACTTTTAAGTGATAAATCCCTTTTTCAGGTTCTTATTCACCCATTTTGGGAAGCTCCTGGGAAAGCTCAAACTTTGCTCAGAGCTTGTGCACAGGGGAGCTAACACGGATGCTCCAGAGCTGTTTGCAGTTAGCACCAGTGCTGCATGGCACAACCTTGCCTGCAGCATCCTACGGCCGCAGCGTAACACTGGCCCTCCCTGACCTGCCTCCCCAGCGGGGCCAGGCAGCCGCTCTGCTGTGCCTGCAGATGAAGCCGTGCCCCCGTGCCACCCCACGGAAAGCCAGTGCCAGTGCCACATCTGCCAGCTGCCATCGGAGCAGCAACGCTGTCCCCATCGCACCGGCACTCACCGCAACCTCCTGGCTGGAGGGTGGGGGACCGCAGCTGTGGGGAGCACAGCCTGGCAGGGATGGAGGTACGCAAAGCTCTTCCACATCACCCTCTGAGCAGCCCTAGAGGCAAGCCTTGCCTGCCCCACACCCTGTCCCAGCCCCACACCAGGTTTGGCAAGGGCATGCCAGCCTGAGCATGGCCCCATGGACAAGGTGGGTACCAGTGCTCCTCAGTAGTGATGCTCTTGATCTCATCCCTTCCCAGAAGCTGTTATCAGGCACCATCCACCACTTCACACCCTGCTTCCAGCCCGGGGTGGACGGACGCTGGCTGTAACAATATTAGCGCTGTTTGTTACATTGGGCACATTAATGTCATTCGGAAAATTACTGGTTTGACGCTACTGATTTAAAATGCAATAAGGGATATCCAGCCTCACTGCAGAAGCCGAGCTTTCCTCCCGAATGGCAGGAAAACGGTGTGGGTCCCGGTGCTAAGTAGCTAATTGTAGTAAATTCAGCCGCACGTGTGCAGGAGGGGATGGTAATGAGCCACAGCTGATTAAGAAGCCATAGTTTCAAGGAAACTTCCCGTTGCTATTTCAATGGGAGCCCATACGTCTCAGCCCATTTCTTTATCACCAGCCCCAGTTTCACGAGGGCGCAGTTGCAGTTTACAGCGCTCGAGCAGGTTTTACTGGGTGCGCTTTATGTACTATAGAGAGAAGATCTCCCCTAGCCTTCACTGGCACCAAGGGACAGGATGGGAACCACCCGGGGGGGGGACAAGGTGGAGATCCCAGGAGTTTTGGCACCGCAGGCAGCTCCTGCCCTCAGGGATGGCTGGCAGTGACAGCAGGCAGCACAGCCAGGCTGGCCGCGTGCTCCGAGTGCAGCCTACCCCCTATGCACCCACCCCAGAGGACACGGGGACAGCCGACCCCCACAGACCCCTGTCCCTGCATCCCAGCAGGCAGCAGCCACTGTCCCTGCAAACCCCCATGGGCGCCAGCTCGCAGGACGTACCTCCTCCAGCAGGCGTGGGTCCAGGCAGTCCCCGTCGTCATTGAACAGCGCGTCCCAGCTCTCCTCGGCACCTGGGCTGGCCTGGCTTGGCGTCCCGGCACTGGCCTGCTCTACCTTTGGGGAGCCGCTGTGGAAACCTCCCTTTTCCTCCTCGGCCTCCTGGCTGCACCGGTGCTGCTGCGGTGAGCCCATGTCCTCGCCTGCCCCTGAAGGCTCCTTGGCCCAGGCCGCTGGTGAGAGACCCTCTACGCCGCAGCACAGCAGCTCCAGGTGTGGCGGGGGCTCGCGGCTCTCTGGGGGTGCCCTCTCTGACGCTCCGCTTGCCGGCTCCTCATCAGCATCCAGCGGGCCACTCTCAGCCCTGGCACTGCCATCTGTGCAGGCAGGAGTGCTGCCCACTCCCTCCGCAGCAGGCACTGGGTCACCCTCCCCACCGGGATGCCCGACACCGGCAGTGTTCTCCTGCTTGCCAGGCAGGAGCTGGGACAGGCTGACAATGCCCTGCCCTGGGGTGCTCTCCCCTGGGAGCGCTGGCACGTCACCCGCACCACCTCTCGAGCACCCGGGTTCGCAGCTGGCTCCTCTTGGTGCATCCAAGGTGCTCTCCCTGGCAAGCTCAGCCGTGCCTCCCCACCTCTCCTCCTCCTTCGGCACCCCAGCAGCACAGCTCTTGCTCTGCCCTGCCAGGAGAGACTCCCCACACTCCCTGTCCTCCTCCTGGGCTTTCAGAGCTGCAACCTCCCATGCCAGCCCGGGTGCACTGCCCTGGTTGCTTGGCCCTGCCAGCTGCAGGACACCCTCTCCTGGGTGCTGGGAGACGTCCCCAGCTGGATCCGGGGTGCTGTCCCCTAAATGCTCTGACACGCCACTCAGCCCTGTCCGACACACCAGCATTGGGATAGCAGGGGGTGTTGGGCTAGTGGGGTTGCCCCCAGGCTCAGGGGTAGCCTCCATGGCCCCAGGCTGGGCACTCGGTGGGGATGGAGGGTCAGGCTCTGTCCTCATCATCCGGTGGCTGCGGCTGAGCTCCCTGAGTCCTTCATCATGGGATGCTTTGTCCTGCCCGTCCCAGGGCTGGGCAACAGCCGGATCTGAGCACGGCTCCCGCACGCTGGGTGATGCCCCCGGGCCCCTCGGCACAGCAGGGCAGCTGCCTCCCGGCCTCCGGCAGCACCCAACAGAGGCTGCCCGCGGCTCCTTTGGGCCAGCGTCCGCCTTGCTCTCCCTTCTCACCGCTCTGCCCGCCTGTGTCCTGGCACGGGGGCTTCGCCTCTGCCCCTCGCCGCTGCCCCGGCAAGCATCCTGTGCCAGGCGGTGGTTCTCAGGCTCCTGGCGATGCCCGGCCAGCGTGTCACCCACCACTTGCGCCGCTCTCTCCCGCCGGGCTTTGGGCACGTAGAGGGCCATGTCGGGCTTCCTGTGGCGCGGCCGGCCACCCTCCGTCTCCTGCTGCATGGTGCCACCACTGCCTGCCAAGGAGAGACAGCGTCACTTCCCTGCCCACATCCCAGTGGACCCACAGCCGGGCACGTGGTAGGCAGCCCCTGCCCAGGTCAGTGGGTCGGGGTCCCAGCCTGGCACCCACCCTCGCTCCCACGGCAGCTGGTGCACAGCGATGGATAGCAGAGACCCAAAACTGCCCCCATGTAGAGGCTCTACAGATAGGGTTTGGCACCCGGAGCACCCCACAGCCCTACAGCCTTTGGTGGGGTGTACCGGGCTTGGGGGAAGGAGGGAAACCCTGCCAGCATCACAGGGATGTCTGCCCCGCTCCAGCAGCTAGTGCCTGGGACCCCCCAGCCCCAGGGGCCAGCAGCCGCGGCCGAAGCAGGACACAGAGCCCTTGCACCATTCATGCATCAAAAACCGCGGAGAAGCCCGCAGCAGCCGCGGAGCACCAGAAACCAAACCCGAGGCCAGGGACACCCCGGCGCGGGACCACAGCTGCCACCTGGGCACGCCACAGCCCTGCTCACCTGCTGCCCCGTCCCGGCAGAGATTTATTTTTCATCATCTTTGGCAGCAGCAGGCACGCCACGAGCTGCCAGGCCCCCCTGCCCCTATAAATATGCATCAGGCAGGGTTTATGGAGACGGATGGCGTGGGGGGCTGCGCTGCGGTTGAGGGGAAGGCAGAGCGGGGCCGGGCTGGGGCCCCGTGATTAATCACTGCCCACTCTGTTTAGGGGGATTCATCACAGGCCGCTGTCAGGTAAATCACTGGAAAAACACCTCTTCAGTAATTAATGTGAAGTGACGGATGGACAGCCCCCAGGCCCATTAATCTGGACCATCAGCGCCGACCGAGATTATGAATGTCAGGATGCATAAACTGCCGGCGGATCAATAGGGCCAGGAACCCATCCAAGGCTCTCATTTCCGAGGCACCTCCGGTACATTAGCCTCCCCTCCACGCAGCCCCCAACCGAGGCGCGAACACTCCCCGCGGCCCCTCACCGACAGCCGGCAGCGGTGCCGGGAAGGCGAGGGGAGGCCAACCACCGGCTGGAAAGCGGCCGGGGCTACCCGTGCCGCACGGCATCATCCCCTCCTCCTGACGGACAGACGGACGGACGGCTGCCTCGGCATGATGGATGGGTCTCTCACAGCTCTCTGGAAACTGCCGGCAAGCCTGGGCAAGGCAGTGCTCCCCAGCACCACCGCGGCGCCCGTGCCTGCACCTCGTGCCGCGGAGGTGGGCAGCAGCGCACCACGCTCCTGCCCACCTCCGCGGCACGAGGTGCAGGCACGGGCGCCGCGGTGATGCTGGGCACCGTCCCGGGGCTGCCCCCAACCATTTTTCTGTCTCCGCAGCTCTTGTCATTTTTTTTCCCTCTCTTTGATACACTAATTTTGCTGGCAGAACGATCCCCTTTATCTTTATCGACCGCGAGAAAGGAACGTATCCTACAAACCCTCCAAGGTCTGGATTAGTCATTTTTCAACACCGAGGCGTTATACATTTTCTTGCCAAGCACAGCCCAGGTGCCGGGGGGGGCGGGCCAGGAGGCCCCCCGGCACCATTTCCAACCACACAGAGCTTCCAAGTGCACCGAAGCACATTCTGCTAAAGGACTTTTCCCTGCCAAGCCCAGAGTCTCAGCCCATGGGACATCACCGAACACCCTGGGGGGATTGTGGATGTCCCCAGGGCTCTGCTTCTGGAGAATTGCCAGCACTGTGAGCAGCCAGGAGCAGCACTGCTCCACGCACATCCCAAGTCACCTCCAAGAAGGGCCTTTGCACGCAGGATTTATGGGCTCCTCGAAAGCTTGCCGTTCACCTTGCCTCACCCTCCAAAGCAGATGGTGCGGCATTAGCCAGACGGCTGGTGCTGGGAGCATCCTCTCCCCGCACAGCTTTGCCTCTGCCTGCCACACTCTGCTGGGGAAGAGCCTCTTCCCGCAGCCTGGGGAGAAGCATGGTAAGGTGGTGGCTGGCCCACGCTGGCAGGGATGCTGCATCACTTTGTTTTTTCCCCACAGGGCAGCACAGCTCCTGCCCCCAGCCTATTACACACTTCATCGATGCCACGGCCACGCGTCGGCACCGACCGATTTCACGCTCCGGGAGGCAGAGCAACAGCCCTGGCTTCGGGTCTCATTCACACTACGCTGGGCAGGGCAACCCTGCCACTTCCAGACTCCAGAACCAAGCTCACCCCGCAAAGCCAGGCGGTGATGGGCAGCGCATCCCCAAAAGGGCCTGTGCTGCACCGAGTGCTACCCTGCTTTTCAAAGCCAGCTAGCAAAAAAGCTCAGCATTGTGGCACCAAGCAGTGAAAGGCAGCCCCAGACCGGGCACACCACAGTACCATGGTAAAAGTGGCAGTGGGAGCGCTGCCCAGCTGCCTGGCATGTAATGCTTGCCAGCCTGGCGCAACACAGCCTGGCATGGCCAGAGGGATGCTGGAGCCTCAGCCAGGAGGTGGCCAGAGCTCCCCGCGAGCACAGGGTCCCCTCGCACTGTGCTCAGGAACACGCTGCTCATGGGAAGCTTGTGCTCGTGGCATGAGTTTGTGAGGTCTCAGAGCAGCAGCCTGGGCGATGTGCCAGCCTGCATTTCTCCTCTAGCAACCATCTGCAGCAGAGACGGGCAGCATTTTCTCCCTGATTTCTCTCCTCCTCCTGTCCAGGGAAGGACCCCATGAACATCAGCAAGACAGGGCTGACCACATCACAGAGCCCACTTCACACTGCACAGCACATCGCCAAATTCCTCCATCATCTGCATCCCTGCCCGGTGGGTGAGGACACCTACAGCGCAGCTCCGACGGCAAAGCCAGGGCTGCTGCGAGCAGAGATGCCAGCCACGGTCCCGCTCGTGGAACCTGGGGACGGGCACGGATGCTGGGCTGCGGGGCTCACACAGAGCATGCCAGTTCCCGGAAAAGTTTCGGTGCCACCCAGCGCCCTCGCAGCAGGCTGCCGCATTTCCTGGCAGGGAGCTGTATTTTTAGCCTTCGAGGTTTCTAATTCCACTCAATCCATACTCCCGTCGATAGAGCAGATAACCTTAAAGCCTTGACGGTGAACGGGGATGGCAGCACCGGGGGACCCGGAGCCTTGGGGGACCACGCGCAGCCTCGGCATGCAGCTCGTGCACCTGCAATGTCACTCTTTACAGCCTGCTGCAGATTGGGCTCTTTGGAGGGGAAAAAAAATAAATATAATAACAAGACTAATAAAAAGGCAGGTACAAGGAGATTCTAAACAGCCCCGTTGGGGAACCCGCCACTCGCAGGGCTCATCCCATGCCAAGCACGTGCTGTGGCACGCTCACTGACTGCACAACACCGGCGCCCGGCAGCCCAGGTAAGGATTGTCAGAGGTTTTGGCTACCCTGCACCTCTCCTGCTCTCAGCAGAGCTCCAGCCCAGCCCACCCGGCTCACACAGCAGGCCAGGAAAGGACCTGGATACCTGGCAGGGAAAGGCAGAGCAAAGGCGAGAACACAGAGCTGCTGGCACAAGGCAAAGCAAAGCATTTAAAGGAGCGGAGAGCCGCGTCCCATCCGACGCCTGCCCACAGCCCCGCAGGCTTTAAGACGTCCCTGTCCCCTGCTGCCAGGAGAAAGATCCTCTCCAGCAGCCGAAGCAAACGCTGGCTATGCAAGGAGGCAGCGAAGGCGTCAAAGGCACTGAGAAAAGAGAGAGATTTCAATCATGCCTTTCATTTGCGATGCTCTTAGGAGATACCTGGAACAGATGCTCTTAGGAGATACCTGGAACAAGAGAAGGGGAACAGGGGGAGGATTTGTAAGTCAATAGTGTCCCCTCACAGCTGCAGG